TACTCGATGCACTCGACGTCGCAGTCGTATGCATGCTCGTACGTGGAGTCAATAGTGATGACACTATTGGGGCCCGGCATCTTTAGCTTGAGGTAGGTGTAGTTTGGGACCGCCATGAACTTGGCGTAGCACGGCCGTCCCAGGATGGCATGATAAGTCCCCTTGAACCCCACCACCTCAAAGGTGAGGGTCTCCTTGCGGTAGTTGGAGGGGGTGCCGAAGCAGATGGGTAAGTCTATGCACCCGAGGGGTCGCGCGCGCATCCCTAGCATGATGCCGTGGAAGGGCGCGGCGTCGCCTCGGAGTTGTGACCGGTCGAGCCCTAGGAGCTCCAGCGTGTTGGCGTACAGGATGTTGAGGCCGCTGCCTCCGTCCATCAACACCTTGGTGAGTCGGGTGTTCCCGATGATCGGGCCAACGACGAGCGGGTACTGGCCGGGGTTTGGGAAATGATCGGGGTGGTCATCCCGATCGAAGGTGATCGCCTCCTGAGACCAGTCGAGGTACCGGGAGTAGCCACCTTAACCGAGAAGACCTCTCGGCGTTCCCTTTTTCGTTGTCGCGCCGTGAGGCACGTTGAGGGCCCACCGAAGATCATGAAGGCATTGTGTACCTCGGGGAACCCGTCGCCCTTGTCGTTGTCTCCGTCGTCCTAGCCCCTCTTCTTGGCATCGTCGTTGGGGAGCCCGAGCTTGGCGTAGTATCGCCGGAGCATGGTGCACTCCTCGAGGGTGTGCTTTACCGGGCCCTGATGGTATGGGTAGGGTCTTTTAAGCATGTTGTCGAAGAGCCCTGGGCCTCGGGGATTCTTGCGGTTGGCGGCCGCGACGAGCCCGGCCTCGAGAACCTCCTGTTTCCCCTGGCGTCCCTTCTTTTTCTGGGGGGGCGAGACGTCGAGGCCCCGGGGGTCTCATCCCACCTCTTCCCCTTGGAGTCGTTGTTGGGGAAGATGGCCCCGACGGCCTCTTTGCCAGAGGCGAAGCTAGTGGCGATGTCGAGGAGTGCGGACGCCGTGGTCGGCACGCCCGGCCTAATTCTCGGACCAGTCTCGGCTGGTGGTGCCGGAGAGGAATGCTCGGACGATTTCGAAGTCGCCGATGCTAGGCAACTCGATGCATTGCTTGGAGAAAGCGTCGGATGAAGTCTCGAGAGACTCGTCCCGCTCTGGCAAACAACTCTTGAGGTCCTGGGAGTTCTCGGGTGCGCGGCGAGGGTGCCTCGGAAATTCCCGACGAAGACCTTTACCAAGTCGCGCCAGTCGTGGATTTGCATAGGGGGAAGGTGTTCGAGCTAGGCTCGCGTTGAGTCTGACAGGAATAGGGGGAGGTTGCGGATGACGAGCAGGTCATCGTCCGCACCGCCTAGCTGACAAGCCAGACGGTAGTCAGCCAACCATAGCTCGGGGTTGGTCTCGCCGCTGTACTTTGAGAGATTCGCTGGTTGACGAAACCGGGCCGGGAAGCGGGCGCTGCGGATGGCCTTACTGAAAACTCTAGGGCCAGGCGGCCCGGGAGAAGGACTGCGGTCCTCCCCACTGTCATAGCGACCGCCTCGATGCACTTGGTAGCCCCGGGTGGCCCCATAGTGGTTGTGGCGTCGTCGTCTGCTGTCCACGTGGTGGCCGTTTTGTGCCTCGCGTTGGTCGTCGAGGCGGTCATGCACCGAGGGGGCCTTGAGGCGGTCGTCCATCGAGGGCTATTTCGAGGCGTCCCCGCGTCGTCGAGACGCGGAGCTTTCGGCCTGCTGCACCACGGCAGTCTCGAGAAGGCCCCGGAGTTCGCCGTGGACTCGTCGCCCCTCCGTGGTAGAGGGCTCGGGCATCGCTCGGACTAGTATTGCCGCCGCAGCGACATTCTGGCTAGCGCGATTGAAGACAGGGGGTTGCTCGCCCCCCTCGTCATCGTTAATGCGGCGGTTGATGTCGCGAGCCCCCAGCCGGGCCGTTCCGCCATCGCCGCGCCCCCGCTGCTCTTGCTCGAGGGTGGCTCAGAGCTGCTGCAGGAGGAGTCGATCTTGCTCGACCTTGGCTTGAAGCTCACGGAGTTGCTCTAGGTCTATGCGTCGAAGTTGCTCAAGGGTGGGGACACCTACCACCGCTGGCGGGACCCCGTGCGTGGTGGTGTGGCGTTGGCTGCCCTTCCTCCATCGTTGCCCGTGCTCGGCATTCCGAGTCCGATGTGGAAACACTCACGAGTCGGGTCGTAAGCGTCCTCGCCGTTGGAATCGGAGTAGCCGGGCGATAGTCGCTTCGTGATCATGAAGCGCGCGCGATCGCCTCGTGGTCATGGCCCGGGAGAAGTTCTGCTCCAACCCACGCCTCATCCTCCTCCGAGGAGTCAGAGTGGGGGTGGATTGGAGTTGTGACTATGGGGTTATGGGCATGATGTTGATGAATGGAGACGAGGGCGGTGGCGTAGGAGGTGGCGATATTGGTCAGCCCGAAAGGGTACAGGGGATGGCGCTGTCGCGAGCTCGCTCCATGAGCTGGCTCCTCGGGAGGAGGCGGGACAGAGCTTGATGATGGGGCGTCGCTGTGCGCCACCACCGCCTTTTTCCCTGCCGAGGCTTAAGCCGGACAGTCCCCGTCTTGAGGACTACTGTGCGCCAGCCGGGGTATGGGATTCGGTGGAGCCTGATCGGCGTTCATACTACTTGCTGTGTTAGGGTGGACTCGCGCCATGGGCTGGCTATGCAGCTGACGGGCGGCGGCGGCGGCGGGCGCCGTCCGCGCGTGGGGCTGCGGTGCATGACGTTGTCGTCGGTTGATGGCGCTCTGGGTGAGAGGAGTACCATGTCGCATTTCGTGCCCTAGAGACATGAATTCTAGGCTCCGAACGAGACGATCGTCCGAGACGCAACGATCACACGGATCGCCATCCGAATCTGGTGGGATGACTAAGGCGACACGCAGAGGCCCCTACCGCGCGCTTAATCGCCGGTGTTTCGAACCGGGGTCCTTAACCAACTAGTGAATTTGTGTTGCATGCTCCCAATTCCGGATGGTGATGCAAAGAGACACAAGGTTTATACTAGTTCGGGCAATGCCACGCCCTACGTCCATCCCGAGAAGATGTTCTTGTATTCCTTGCAGGGGGTGCTCGTAGTAGGGGGTTACAAGCTAGGCGAGAGAGGAGTTCGTCCCGTGTCTCGTGAGGGGAGGTGATATGAATTACGGAATGAGGCGTGTTGTTCGTAAGCAGTATTCGTGACTCTATCCACCGGCCCCTAGAAACGGTCCTGGCCGCCTCCTTTTTTATAGTTGCTGCGGGAGGAAACCAGGAGTACATAAGAGATCTACACATGGAGCGGACTATTCGATGACGTATTTACTCCGGAGCAAAGCATGGCGTTGTCGTGGGAGTTCCGTGAGATGTCTAATCGGTATGGTCTCCACTACAAGTAACAACATGTCGCGCATTTGTTGGCTTAACAGTGGATTACAGAGGCTCGGCGGCCATCGTAGCCGATCGTCTTTGAGGCTTTGTTGCCGAGGGCTGCCGTGCCGAGGCCCGAGAAGTGACCAGTGCGCGATGCGGGTCTCGGTGGCCATGAGGCGGAATAGTGCGAGACGCGCGCGCCCCTGGGATCTGGTACTGTATTGTCGATGAAGGGATGGTAAAAAGGTGATCTCGACCGTTGTCTCGTCGCTCCTGTTGCGTAAACAAGACCGCCGATCGTGGCTTACGTGAGCGGTGCATGTGGCGCATTAATCGGATGCGACGACTGCCAGAGAGACCTTTGAGAGGCGAGGCGACGAGGTTGCAGGGGACGAGCCCGGCTCTCGGCGAGGCGAGCGTGGCCAATTGGTCGTCGAGAGGCCCTACCGGGGGTCTCGGCGGCGGACGGGCGAGGCGGAGTAAGATCGGTGAATTCGAGGCCCTCGTCGAGGGGGGCTCGGGCGAGACGGAGCGGTCGGTCCGCTGATTACGAGGCTCTGAGGAACCGTTCGACTCCCCACGTTGCGATGTCCTTGGTGCAGGAGTTAGCGGCAAAGACGGTGGTCGGTAACCCCGCTGTGGCGTCGCAGATGGCGGGAGGTTGACGCGACTAGCGTGTAGTCGGTCACTTACATTCATTGTGCCATCGATGCGTCTGTCGGAGTGGTTGGGCGCTTGGATGCGACGCTCGGTCGAGCGCTTTTGGTCGAAGAGGCGGTCACGGGGCTGGTGCCGAGCCGGCCTCGCGCGAATCGGAGAATCGGCACTTCTTCCGAGGCCCCGGGTGAGGGGGCCTCGACGAGGGGGCCTCGGCGAGGCGGTCTCGGGCGAGTCGGAGAATCGTTCGCTTCCGCTGGGGCTCGGCGACGGGGTCTCGGACGAATCGGAGATTTCGGCCAAGATCTCGTTTGTTTATTCCGTTGGTTCTGTTCTTAGGGTCTAAGTAGTTTTTCGATCTTTGCTTGGGGTACCCCATTTTCTAGTATCCGACACATGTATTGCAAAACAGGAGTATATTGTTGCTCCCATTGAATAAATAGAGAGCCCTTTCTGTCATTCTGTGTAAGGCCACTCTCAATGGAAGTTGTATCCTCAATTAATAGGGTGTCAACTAAGCAAACTTGGTGACATGGCAAAGAATTAAACAATAGAGATGAAATGAGAGTTTCATATAGGTGAGATGAAACTTTTCTAAGTCTGAGATGAAACTTTTCTAAGTCTGAATGTGTCATAGAATTAAATGCAAATACGAAACACAAAAGAAATGAAACTATGCATTGTAGAAGGTATTTCAACCATGAATCAAATGCATTGAGAATGGCCTAACCAATCATTGTGACTCGGCTATGGAGTAAAGTTCTGCGCAAGTGCTGAAACTGATCGCCCATGTAGTCACTGCTTGTTACACAGCATCCAGAGTGCTAACCGCCCATGATGCAATAGACTACTATTCTCCCCCTCTGTTCGCGCCCACACAACTACACATTCAACACAAGTACACACTCAACAGAGCGCTCGTAGAGAGCTGCGCGCCTCACAGATTCTGACCTCACAAAACTGGGGCTATTCATCAGACATGTAATGCGTGTCATTGTTGGGCCTGCTGTTGGGAAGTAGCCAAGCGAAAAATCCCTTGTACGTTTCTCCTTTCAGCCTCTGGGATGAGTACTCGATGAGCATATGCCACAACTCACCGACTGTCCAGCCATGACGTAGTATCCACTGGATCACCTGTCACAGCATGACGATACAAGGGAAAAGGTCAAGGAACATATATATAACAAAGAAGCCTAACAGCACAGAGTTGTGATTAACACTTTCAGAATTTGACTGGCACACCAAAGTTTGCTGTGCATCCTCTCATACGGTGAGAAAAAATGTTATTTGTAATTTTCCCTTTTTTTGGTTTGGATCCACTTGGTTTCCAACCTCCCAGGGTTAGCAAACTTTGTAACTCTTCTTTTTATCAATATAAATAAGTGAGTCTCGTGGTAATTGATTCAAAATAAATTTTGTTGGGCATCGTACAACCTACTTGTTCTGAACTTGTAAAAATGTATCAGGCCCAATTGGTAGTTATCTCTAGGAGAGGCTCCATTGAACTGTGCCGAACTAGGATCCTCACTCTTTCAAGGGTAAGGATACACCAACTTTAGAAGTTGTACAGCTAGAGTTTAACTTTCTAATCATGTGGCATAAGAAAAAATTGTGGAAGAGATGTATAGTACCTCCTCTAATCTTTCCAGAGATGCAACCTCAAAGGTGTAGTAATTAACAAAAGGGCGGAGAGCCTGCATGATTAAGAAAATACAGATTTCACCCCCAAAAGAAAAGAGGCATACAAATTTATTTGATCCCTATGCATCAATCAGCCACCTTCATCTAAATGGAAACACATGTATCCTGTACCTGTGATGCAGCAATCCACTGAATCATGCTCTTGATTTCAGGGTTTCCACCAAAAGCACCACAACCCCAATTTCCTGTTGAAACTCCTATGTACTCATTGGAATTGATACTTGGAAAGTTACCCTTGTTGTGTGAATCCTGAACAGTATTTAAAAAATGAAAACATAATCAGCAAATATATGACATATCTGTCATACCTCTGGTGCTATGCATATACAGGCTTAATGTTTGGGCATTTCTTGAGATTACAGCACCAGAGTGCCATTTTTTCATCTGCATTTAGTTACATCACTGGCAGAACACAAGAAAGAAACTAACTAAAGGTTGCAATGCTGACTAAGGCCATATTGGCTGCAAAAATAAAAGGAAAGCGCTATTGAGTGAAACTCAATGGAGTGATTAGTTAAACAACCTGGAAAAGCTTCACATAAAGCTGGTGTTTTGATTGATCGAAAAATCCACAAAAAGCCTTGTTCACTTCCCTGAACAAAGGATAATTAGAAACAGTAAAACCATAAATATTATTTGCTTCTAAAGGATATCATCAGTGACAACTGTGACATTCAAAAAAAGTAACTTATTACCTTAGGAGACAACCAGATTCATAGTGTAACCTAGCTGGACAGTCCAAAGCATCAATTGCAACTATCCTAGTTCTCCGTCTCCCCATTGAATCAAAGGGTTTGGTATCTAAATAGTCACCGACAAAGCGAAAGGAGGAACCATAACTGCAAGGAGAAACAGGTACTGGATTCATAGTATCATGTAAGGAAAATCATACAAGGATCATATCAGTCACTTCATCGAATCTATGAACTAAATTAAGCAAAGGGTGGATAGCGTTTTCACTAACCCCATATACTGTGAGAACCGTTCTGCACCAAAAATTTCTATAGCCTCATTATCTTCCATAGAAGCCATGAATAGCATACCCACAATCAATTCGGGGTTTATCATGAAGCGGATCTCTTCCTGTACCATAGAGGAAAAACAGAGTGGTTACACAAAACCACAAGAGCATTGTAACATGTAATCTATTTGAAAAGTCATTTCAATTCACAGCAGAACGCGAAGGACTTTTTTAAGCACAAACAGGAAATGGTGGATAAATTGCAATTCATACTGTGTAGATGCACAAATTCATCTGAAAACTGCTCAGAAATGAACAGCATCACATGATCCCACAGACCCTAACCAAAGTAGTTGCTACGAAATTGAAGATTGGGTAAACTAAAAATCTGCCAATCAAAAGAAAGGTACCTGCACACAACCCCTGGAAAGGGCACCTCCTCCCAAATATTTATTTGCAAAGTCAACTTGAAGGGCTTCTTGTTCCTCATCTTCTATAAAACCTGAGGAAAATACCTACTAATGAAAAGGAACCAGATAATCAGAAAATTTTATAACAAACTTGAAGGCAATTTTATAACCATTACAACACAAACAGATAATTCAGTATCAGTAAATCAGTATACAGTGGTCTCTTACCCGGAATTGGCAGAGGGGTGCACTAGATGCCAACCACGCATGGATGTCAGGGTAGGGAATGCCATCAGAGAGGCCTCGGCGGGGAAGAACTTTGCGCTCAAACGAAACGAAACCAGTAGGTGTAGAATCAGTCACCCTCTCGAAATAGTGAACAAGGCACCTCACTTTCTGCTGCTGGCTTTGCGATCGGTGAATCAGCGCCCTGCGATCGGTGAACAGAACATGAACATAGGTACTCCAATCTAGTTGTTTTCTTTTTTTTCCAATCATAAGCGAAACAACACAGAATGCAAAGAGGACATACGTGAACAGGCCATCGAAATTGATGGTGGGAAGGCACGCCTGGTCCCTACCGGCCGTGGGGAAGAGGCAGAAGAGCGCGCAGGTGAGCAGCGCGGCGACTAGCTCCTGGCTGAGGAGCACAAGGCCCACGTCCTGCGACGCCAGGACCCGGAGCCCGGAGGCGCCATGGCCGGCCTTGGCGTAGTGGTCCTCGAGCAGAATGGGGAGGCGGAGGAGGAGGCGTGCGAGGTTGGGGACGACCTCGGCGAACCAGCCCCGCGCCTGGGCCCGGGAGAGGAGGTCGTCGAAGAAGAGCGCCAGGCCGTCGGCAGCGAGCGGGGGCAGCGCGGGCAGGGCGAGCGCGAGGCGGAGGTCCGTGAGCGCGTCGGCGAGGACGTCCCCAGAGGCGACGCGGCTGACGTCGGGGCCGAGCGCGAGGGCCCGGAGCGACTCCTGCGCCGCGGGCGGCCAGAAGAGCGCGCCGCCGCGGAGGACGACGGGGAGGAAGGGCAGCGCCGAGCGCAGGTCGCCGCGCGCCGCCAGGCCTGAGGCCGGCGGCTCCTCCTCCATTGCGGCGGGGGCGGGGGCGGGGGCGGAGGAGCGATGGGTCTGGGTCCGGGTCGGTCGGCTCGGCCGCGAGCCCGTGCGGTTTGGGCTTCGGGCCGCCACCCCCACCCGAGTGGAGTCCACACGGTTCCCGCGTCAGGTTGACTACTGCTTGGCGGCAATGGCGGGGTGGGAGGGCAAGGTTGCCGTCGGCGACACCGACGGTGCGCAGCGACGGGATCCACTGGGATTCGACGCAGACATTTGACAATTTTCAGCCCGTTTGCTTGGTAGCAAACGATACTAAATTTCCAGCCATAATCGTATTTTTCTCCCGCACCAAACCACATAACAGTAAATAATTCACGATCGTTTATTTACCCCGAACAGACTGTTTAGCGAAGATCATTAGGGCATCCGAACTTGAAAATTCTTAACATGGCAACCAGGTCCTGTTCTGTTCGGCTTATTGTCACTGTTGAATACCTGCCGCCTTATCTCCCCCCTGAAAGTAAGAATTTTTCTATCTGTGCCCAAAAAAAAAGGGGTGTGTAGAGAGATGATCCAATCTGCAAAACAGTTCGGAAAGAGGCACAAAGCGCAAATAAACTCCTAGCAAAATCTAAAACACAATGATAAAATCAGATCATTTAAACACAGTACTGGAAGGAAAACAGTACTAGAAGTCATTTAAACACACATTCCTCATTTGGGCACATCTCCATATCTGCATGCTGGGATACACGGAAATAATCCAAATTAAAGACGCAGGTAGTCTCGAGCCGTGGAGTTGATGGCCGCATTATTACAGCAGGATCTTAACATGCAAGCAAAAACATGGAGTTGCGAATTATTTTTCATGTTATTGAGTCACATCCAAGCTTCGTTCTTGCCCTTCTCGTGGTTCCTTGGCACATATCTTCGAGCCCACAAATGTTTTCCTCCTGCCACAAACTTGACTTTCTCTTTCCCACCAAGTATGAATAGCATAGTCTCCAGCGAGCCAAATATGACGGTGCATATTGAGGTGGCCTAGTATCCTCTATGCTTAGGCTTTCCACATCACCGAAAATAATGCAAATAGAAGACCAAACAATAAGAATATGGATGGATAGCAATATAGGATTCAAAATAAATGTGCCCTACTAGTACATTCATAAAGTAAGAAGTAGCTTTCCAAACAATGAGAAAAAGGAAGAAGTAGCTTTCCAAACAATGAGAAAAGGCCTATCTAAATCCAAACCTTATGGTATACCATGCAAAATGGTGACTACCAAAACATTTGTGAACCCATCAAGCGCTTAGTGGTTTATTTAAGGGAGGGTGGGCAGGGCGAGGGAATGACTATGAAACAAGTCAAGGGGTTGACTAGTAATTCATCCTCTTCTCTATGCATTCCTTTTTCTCATTATAATTGTCCACATGGACATACCATTTGCGTTGAATATATCCACCATTATGTTCACATTTTATTATCACACTTAATTAATTATTTACTATTGTTGTTTAGAATTTGATTTGTTTCCTTCTTATAAAACAATATTTGGAAGTAAAAACTTCACATGATCTTTGGTACCACCGGATGCCAATCCTCGTGTTATATTGTCGTTTATGCTTCACTTTCTACAAAGGTCATGCTACTTTTGCATTCTTTATTATTATGTACACATCAAGTAGCACATCACACCTAATCATTACTGATTGTGGCGAATAAGAACAAGCGGGTGGGGTGGGTGTGGGAGAGGAGGGTCTATCTTCTTCTCTCTCCTCCTCCACCTCTTCTCCGCAACAGAATTCCAGTCGGGTGGCCATGGAGGGAAGGGGATTCCTTTGTAGATCGCCCCCTGTTTGCGAGGCTTGTGCATAATTCTTCCTGTCTCATGAACCAGGAACCTACAAGTGCTACTACAATTTCAAGGACGGATAAATATGAACTCTATGGCAACATGAGGATGAGGGAGGGCATAGGCGATAGCAAAGGATACTAGAGGGCCAGAGAGTGTAGGGAAGCAACAAGGAAAAAGAACTAGGATCTATAGATGGCATCAACCATGCCCTTTCTTCTCCTTTAGGTTATTTTTGTCTCATCAACCTTGTGCTCCCTTTTCCCCTTCTTCTTCTTCTTTGCTTATTCCTCCTCTTTAGTCTCCTTGTCCATCTTATATGACAAGTATCCTCTTCGCCTAACTCCTTGAGCTTTTGATAATGATTTTAGGTATAGATCTTCACTCTTATTGACATAAAAAATCTCTTAATGTCCCTTAAGCACTTTGGTTCGTATTTTACTATTTGTTTAAAATACATTCAGTGACCTTTTTACCACTTGTCATGTATATTATATATAGTTTTTTCATATCAATTTTAATAAAATAGCTTATTTACTATTGATTTGTGGTAACTCACCCGTCACTAAATCTAGATGCAGTGAGACACCATGCACCACCACCATCTACATCATGTGTTTTAACCTTACGTTTGTTGACGAGGGAATAAGATATTTTCATTACACTTAATACTAATTATGCTCAAGTCACTTTTCCAAACGAGAAGTCATGAACAATAAGGAATATGAGGTGCATTTTACCTACTATACTAGAAGGTAGGTGCAAGAATTTCACCATTCTAAGAAATTTTTTACTTCTCTTTTTATTGTTAGCAAGAAGGCAATTTGCAATAACATTTTCCTAGTAGGTATTGCATAGTGGCATATATATAAGTTAATCTAGAGAAGATATATGGAAAACAAATAAAATGAATCAAATAGAAAAATGCTTTGTAATCTCATTATTAAAGAATTCATTTTGATCTTTTGTTTCTAAATTCTTTAATAAAAGTAATTTAAAAACATGGGAGCAAATAGGTAAGAATAAAGACAAAAATCTTACCTCATAAAAAATTTATATTCTTCCTATTTAGTTAATGGATGTCCGTTGGAGAAAGTGACAAATAATGTTCTATCATCTCGTGGAACAAGGGAATCATGTTGTATATGTGAATGAAAATGAGGGTTCATGTTTGTTGTAGAACTATAGGGGAATGTACCCTGCTCTTATGGGAATTGAGGAGGTATCATACACTACCCGAATAATAATTCCAAATCATCAACATTTGATCCAGAAGGAATAACTCCAATGGCTCTTTGTTGCTGAGGATTAATAATATCTAAATCTATTGAGAAATCATTCATTGATTGGGCTCCATACCTCCTATTTACCATGCCTTGAAGGCTTTGATTTGTGATAGGCATAGGGTTCGGTCTTGAATATATGTTTAGTCTAGTGTTTATTTGTTGCTAGGGAATCATATTTCCTTAATCTCCCAAAAAAGAATTAATTGATTGAATTCCATCCCTCGTTTTTATCATATCTTGGTGGCATTCAATATCCCAATGCATACTTCTAGAAGTTGCACTGTCTCCTTCAAATTGATGGGGGCTCAGTATGGAAAAGAGTAAATGTAGAATCAAATAAAACTTCATTGCAGAAGGTAGATGGGGAAATTGTTAACGAGTGCCATCCATATAGGTGTCATATGCTATATTTGTGCTTACAATGCTTATGTGGGGCTGGTCCTTCATGTATTGATCATGAACATGATAGCTTGAATTGGGATATTCTTCCATATCATGAATTGCTAGAATTTCATCCCTTGTTTTAACCATACCTTGAAAGGATTTAATATCCCTATGTACACCTTTAGAAATTGGGTTGTCTCCTTGATATTGATGATAGCTCTGTATGGAAAAGAGCAAATGTAAATGAAATAAAGTTCATTGTAGGTTAAATGGGGAAAATTAGTAGTGTCATTCATATAAGTGTCAAATGCTTTTAAAGGCAGGATAGTTCCACAAAATAAGTTGTGAGATATATTATATTTTTGCTTACAGTGCTTATGTGGGGCTGATCCTTCATGTATTGATGATGAACATGATACCTTGAACTAGGAGATTCTTCCATGTCATGAATTGCTAGAATTTCATCCCTTATTTTTATCACATCTTAAAGGGAATTAATATCCCTATGTATACTTCTAGAAACTAAACCATCTTCTTGATGTTGATGAGAGCTCTGTATGGAAAAGAGCAAATGTAAAATCAAATAAAAGCTCATTGCACAAGGTAAATAAGGAAAATTTATTAGTGCCATCCATATAAGTGTCACAATGTTTTAAATGCAGTCAATTTAGGAAATTTCCACGAAATAGGTTGTGAGACATGCTATATTTGTGCTTACAGTGATCATGTGGGGTTGGTACTTCTTCATGTATTGACGATGAACATGATAGCTTGAACCGGGGGATTCTTTCACATGATCAATTGCCATATGTTGCTCGGCCTTTTGTCTAAGATCGCTCAAGACTTTGTAGCAAACATTATTGAGGAAGAAACACATTCCAAAAATAACTTCCTCATGAAACTTTGATGCGGATCTGGATTTCAAACCACCAGGGTTGCCATGCATGGCATCAATAAACTGTTTTCCCATATCAACGATGTCTAGAAACATATTGCCATGAAATGAATTGATGTGTCAAAGGAAATCAACTTCGCCATTTCCTTCAACCAACAACCAAAAGGCAATTATTTCTATGGAAAGAGAAGGATCCATTCCAAGGAGAAACACTAAGCGATAGTAAAGTTGGCGCCCATGCTTACTGCAAGAATCTATAGCCTTAGGTAGATCAAAAGGAGCCATTGGAGGTGGAGAAAGACAGACTAGTGAAGAAAGGATCGCGATAGCTATAGTTGTAGGAGATGAGATGTGGAAGACAACTATGGCTGTTTTCTACACCCCAACTATAACTCCAAGCATGCGTAGTGCTGCAAGATTGCTCACATGTTCCATCCAAGTGCATTGGCTATAAATAAATAATAAATTGACAACGACAGCTAGTAGAAAGTCTTTACTCAAATAATATATTATTGTGCTCACATAAAAGGATAAATTGCTAATCATTTACTATTTTATTTATTACATGTCTATATTGCCAAGTGAAACATGATAACTTCACATGTTATTATTAAC